TGGCACTTCTCAATGAAATCGTGCATGTTTTGTTGATAGTCAATACCATGATTCGGGCGCCGATAGATACAAAATATTGAGTCAGAAAATAAGTGGGTTACCGAAAAGACATTTCCTGTGTCATAAAATGTAATAATTTTATTCTTATATAAATAGATTATATAATGGTTTTATGCTTGCACAATGCAATGTGTAACTGTCCATAATCTTTAAATGTGGATGACAAATTTTGCTGTTATCTCTTTACGCTCATTTACTTTTTCTTCGCCGACAAGCGGCGGTTGCTCGGTCGGTACAGTTCGCTTGCGGACTAAAACCACGGGGAATTTTTGTGGCACCAGAATTTAGAAATGTAACTGATTCCGAAGCCAACGTTAGGTACAAAGTAATAAGAACGATGTTGCCAAGTATTGTTGAAATTATAAGATTGTTAAACTGTAAATATATCTAACTTAAGCATTTTCTCAGAAGTCATTAAAATTAATATGCTCATTACTTATTATATTTTACGCCAAAATAAATCTTGTGCTAATTACAGGAATATTGGCTTCGTTATTATAGTTAGAAAATAATTAAATACCAAACTTGTATATAGGATTTCTATCAAGCAGTCCTTAAATTATGAAATATTCGAAAGTTTCTTGCTTTTAAGCTATGGACCTTCAAGTAGGTACAAAATTAAAATTATTAAAGAAACTGTTGGCTTGTAAATAAGTTAGACTTGAAAGGATTCTGACGATGGTGTATATTATACTTCTTTTGGCTTGTTTTGGACTTCATCCATCGTCTGGTATGTAAAAGACAAAAGACCACGACGTTTCGGAGACTAGATCTGTCTCCATCTTCAGGTGGGTGGGGAAGGATAAACCTACTCAGTTTGGCCCGTTAGAAAGAGCTAGTCTCAATCACTGGACAAACCCCGGTCTGTAGAAAACAACCTATGAATACCCGACATAGGTCGGATTGTTTTCTGCAGAAGTATTGTAAACAGGTCTCTGATAGTCTTAACACACTTACCATTTCATGAACAGCAACAAATATATCAATTTTACATAATAGCTAGGGGCGTGTCTGAGTTGCTGCGATATCAACAGGAAGATGCATAAGAATGTTTATTACTTCTACTCACTCACTCATGGAGTTGAGCCCTTCTTCAGAAGCCGCCAATTGTGCAGCTATTCAAGAACTTCCCAGCATTTTATCGAAACCGAAGTTTCATTACCGTGTTCACAAGAGCCCTCCACTGCTCCCTATCCTGAACCAGATAAATCCAGTCCATACCAACCCATCCTATCTCTCTAAGATCCATTTTAATATTGTCCACTTACCTACGTCTTGGTCTTCCCAGTGGCTTCTTTCCTTCTGGCTCTCCCACCAATATTCTATATGTATTTCTCTACCCCCATTCGTGCTACATGCCCTGCTCATCTCATCCTCCTTGAATTGATCGTCCTAATTATACTCGGAGAAGAGTACAAGTTATGAAGCGCCTCATTATGCAGTTTTCTCCAGCCTCCTGTCACTTCATCTCTCTTCGGCCCAAATATTCTCCTCAACACCCTGTTCTCAAACATCCTCAGTTTATGTTCCTCCCTTAGAGACCAAGTTTCACACTTACTTCTAATAAATAAGTAAACCTATTACTTTTAAAATATATATATCTTCAAGAGAAAGATACAGATGTAATAGGGTGAAATTAATACTTTTCTCCAGTGTATGTTAAGTTTAAATAATAATAATATAATTTTTTGACACATTAGTCTACTGAAATTTTTCTTTATATTTGCTGTGATTTATTTCGCCGAGAACATAAACTTCTGCTAGACGTGACATAAGAATAAAGTTATTAATAGGACCTTCTTGAATGTCAATCCACATGCATATGAAGAAGTTTCTTTCCCTTCTGCTATTGCTGACGCTTTATACAACGTTCTAATGCATTAGCTTTTTGTTGAAGTAACAAGTCCTAATTTTTTATGTTTTTCTTCAGAGAAAGGGTGGACAATTTGATTATTTTTGGGTTCGAACGTTGTATTTCGGAGTGATAGGGGGGAGCGGGGCGAAAAGAAACGAAAAAAGAATTGTTATGTTCAGAAACCCAGTAATTCTGTCAAAAAATCTTTTTCAAAAGTTGTCAATTATTCTCATTGACACCAAACACTTTCTAGTTGTCTTAAAAAGACATTATGGTAATTATTTAGTCATTTATTCGGATAGACTTTTCCTAAAATGTGGCTGGTATTCTGAAAGTATACACATATTAAACTAATCTGGAGTGAACCGTACTTGACTCTATATGCCCATTCCTACGTAGCTTATATTCGCAAATAGTAGGTTCATGTACTAAGGACTCAAAAATTTGATGCTTTATCGAAATATACATATTTATTCATTTAATTATATTTCATGATCAAAGAACTGTTTTCGTAATATATAAGAAAAATTAAAACTAATTAGGTGACCGTATTATTAATATTATTTGAATATCACCGTTGGTCCCTAGTTTGTCTGCCCCTGTGTTAGGGCATTGTGGTTTTGAAACTAGGGCTTGCACTAAAACAGGTAACAGCCAGGTCTGTTCAGACTACACAAATAAATATACAGTACATGAAGTGAGACTTCGCCAATATAATCATTAAACCCATTTGGAAGGGGTTTGTTAACTTGGTTCATACTTCGCTCCGTAAGAACAGGCACATAATGTGAATAATTAAGACGGAAATTTCTAGAATGATCTAGGTGTACCGTTGCTTTACTTTACATCGCTGTTTTACTTATTATGTTACTGGAAACCTTAGGTTGCGCCAACGTTGCTCAAATTCTAAAATGTTTGAGTCTGCTGTCAGATAATAGCTGTAAGCTGTAGCTATCCGTATTGATATGATCACGGTGAAACAGAAATAAATCTGAATGAATGCAAGCCATGTGGTACGTCAAACCTGCGGAATATCAGTTTATGGACTGACACATGTAGTGTAGAACGCCGATTATTCGAATTAATTTTTTTTTACATTCGTTTAGTGGGGGGTGGAGTCCAACTGGGTTCACTCGGCACGGCGGCCACTGATTGGCCAATTGTAGCCTGCCCCGGGTGATTATTATAATGGAAAATTTGGTGGAATGAAGATTGACAGGGGAAACCGAAGTACTCGGAGAAAACCCGCCCCAGTGCCACTTTGTCCACTACAAATCCCACTTGACCATACCCGGAACCGAACCCGGGCCGCCGCAGTGGGAAGCTAGCGACTAACCGCTTGAGCTATGGCGCGGCCTCTTCTTATTCCCTTACTTTCAGTAAAGAAATTTTACATGATATCTGCATCTAATTTGATAACTGAACGCACTTGTCAGTTGCTTTCCCCTCTATATCCCCAAATTATATTGACAGATATGAAACCTAATCTGCTTAAATCACGTCGATTATGAAAACAATATACATTCAAGGTAAAACTGCTGCTGTTTGAAACTACAGCAATTCAGAGCACCTTACCCAGATACACACTGCTTTAAACACACTCAGCACACATTCTTCAATATAAAAATATCCAAACAATTCTCTATCTCCACAGAAATAAAAATAATTTTTGTACAAGCTTTGCTTCGTGCACAAACTTTCTCATTCATTGCGACAGTCTTGATGGATGAATGGTTACTTTATAATTGAATTAATTTATTGGTGGGTACAGATACCACAAAATATCATGAGATATATATGTACATATTCTATGGAAGTTTCACGCGTATCTACAAATAGAGGACATGGAATATCAGGACCTTATTAATATACTTTTAATTGTAAAATCGTTTGACAAATAGTAAAATTTCCTTTTCTTACATTTATATTCATTCTATGTAAAATTTAATTTTAGCGATATTAAAACCTGTGATGTTATATAATTTTCAAATTATTTTTATATTTTATTTTAATTTATTGTAGTTTTGATTGAATGATTTCCTTTGGCAGCTGAGAATTTTTCAGAAATGTAAGCTTATACATAGTCAAACTTTTATTGTATGAATAAAGTTTCATTATAAAAATCTTCGTTTATTTTATTTTTCTCAATATTGGTATTATATATTTAAGCATCTGTCTTCATAATACTGCATTTTATACAAAAAGGTATATACGTTGTACCTGACAATGTACCAGAATGTTCGAATGGTGTTATGTTTATTTAACTTACTGTGTTCGGGGAATGGTTATGAATTTCTCTGCTTATTATATCGTTATTAACGTAATTACGAGAAATTTTCTAAATTGGACTATTGGAACTGACTTTTAATAGAATATAATTGCGGTAGTAAAGTTCTAAATGTACTGTATATGCAGTAAATTGATATTTGGTCTTGCCTACAATGTAAATATAAAAGTTTTATGTAGGAATCTAGTAATTTTTTCCATTTATTGATAGCAAAAATGATTCAATGTAATCATATTTAAGTTAAATTAATACATAATCTGCTTAGATATAATTTGTAAGTAAAATGTAATGTGATATATGCAGTACGCAACTGTAGAATCAAATTACATAAAACATAACTTTTCGAATTCCAAAAGAAGAATTATATTTACAATATAAAAACCAAATTTTAATTAATTCAAACAACAATTTCTTACATTATTGTATGTAATAAATGAGTTGCGAAACAAATTTCACACCGGTTTTACGAAACGTTACAATTAAAAATGATGTTGGTACTTTGTACTTTGAAGAAATATCTTGTGGACTCTACACATTTTCTTTTACTTCACTCTTACCCTCAGTAACTGTGGAATATTCTAAGGAGCGGATTATGAGATCATTAGAGTTACCAATTCACAGCTAAGCATATTTTTGAAATTATATGTTCACATTTAACTCTGTGCTTTCTTATTAATATTTGAAGCAAAGCTTGTCTTTGTATAAAGAACAAACAAATATACAAGCATAAACAACGAATGTGACAGGCACATTGAATAATAATGGTAAATTTGTTGTTGGTTTAATATGTATTTATACCGGTGTTTTGGGTAATTTCCGTCGTGTTGGTGAAGTAGGCGTCTTCTCTTGTTCGGATTCTGTAAGAAAAGAAATATTTCATACATTAGAGAAATGAAACAATATTTTCACGGGCTATACATAAATTACAATTGGGTAAACAAGGGATGTAAAGATTCCTAACTGTCTCCCACAACAAGTAAAGGTAAAAGGTAAAGTTGTCCATGTAAAAAGGCAAAGAAAAAAGGTAAACCTATCCCTGTAACAGGCCGTGGAAGCCCATAGGGCTGTGAGACGTCGAGGCTCCNAGGAATATTCCTGGTACTCATTTCTGCTAGAGGCTGAGTCGACCCCAGGGCCATAGCGCGGCTAGAAGAGTTAGGTAAATTGGAAAAATATTCACATCATCAGGATTTGAAGCCGCGACCTTTTAACTACGTTACCGCTTGTCCTCAAAGTTATATATGTGCTTAACTAATTTGGCACTAGCTAGATGTGAGTAATCAGCTTCACGCCTCGGTCGCCTTACCCCCGGTGATAGAGCCCCCTGTACCCCTTGGATAGGAGTGTGGGTGGACCTCAGCAGGTCTGGACAACGTGGAGAAGAGAAAATTATTGACCCCACCTGGACTCGAACTCCGACCCCTCAGTCTTCCAGCCCGTGGGCAGTCACTATACCGACTACGCTATCCCGGCTCCTTCCTTGAATCCATATATTTTAAAAATGTTTCAATCTTTTATTCTTAAGCGTTTGCTTCAGTTTACAACGACAAAATTGGACAGTTACGTGATACGTGGTAGGTCATACCCCTGGCCCTCATGGCGGCGGTCGTTATATCTTAGGAAATACGTCAACATTCTATTCCGCGTGTTTCCTACAGTCAGAGCCAGACAATGAGCTCCAGCTGCGGAAACCTGAGGGCAGAAATTATATTTTACGGTTCTCACTGACTGGCTGCTAAATTGCTGCCAGTCCTCGCCAGTTCAGTGATTCTTGGTTCCGAGTCCCACGGGAATCGCGACCATATTTTACTGTCTTACGGCTCTGGGAGCTTTCAAATCGCTCTTCCTTTGTTATATGTTCCTCGAAGCGAGTGAAGTGCTGACGCTTTCGGAATTAGATTAATTTCATACAAGTAAAAAAATAAAAGGTAAAGTTGTCCCTCTTCTTAATTAATTAAGCACCAAAATATGAAGATGTATGAGGACTAGAGGAATAGCTGCACTAGATGGAAGTGAGTGGCTACCTTCACGTTCCGGTCGCTTTACCCCTGGGGAAAGAGTTACCGAGAACTTATTGGATAAAAGGTTGGGTGGGCCCCAGAACCGGTCTGGACGCTGTGGAATAAAGAACAATCTGTTACCCCTACCGGGAATCGAAACCCAGCCATCCAGCCCATAGTCCGTCGCTACAGGACTGAGCTGCCCGGCTTCCCAGTGCATACGAGCGCGAGACAAATATCCCCGAATGAAGGAGGCGCAAAGGACGACTTATATCCAATCCCACTAAGTTATGAAGTCCTCAGAGCGGCGACGGTGTAGAACACAGTCGTCTGGGATGTGACATAGTGTGGTCTGATGTATAGGTATCAAAATTTCGGAGGAAACTACTGCTGCAGTCTTCAGGGTAGGAGCTACATCCGGAAGATTGAGCCAGTATGTTCCTCTGAAATAGCGGTCACTGCATCAGTACCAGAATGCGGAATGTGTCCCTGATTTATTGATTCGTAAGGCCTACACTGAAGACGAGAACAACAGGTTTCCCCGAAACGTCCAAAACTACTAAGTTTATGGAGCAAAAGAGTATGAGGAAGTTTTTCAGAGGCCTGGCTGAGGTCAAAGTAAATTGAATCGGCTTGCCGTTGTGAACGGACAGAAGCTGTGATAAAGTTTAAGTTAGTTAATTGCTTGCAGTAAACTTCGATTTAGTGAAACCCTGCTGATATAGGTGAAGTTTAAATTTAAAATAAAAAGAAAAATACTCATGTATTTCACTCTAAAAATTTTGAAAAAATGGTTTCAAATTGTGATTGGTCTGTAATTAATAAGGGGCACGCGGTAGCATAGTTGGTTGAGGCACTATGATACAAGCCGGAAGGTAACGGGTTCAAGTCCCGATGAGGTCATTGAATCTTTTTCAATTAACCTAATTCTTCCACCCGCACTATGGCCCTGGGGTCGACTCAGCCTCTAACAGAAATGAGTGCCAGGAATTAATAAAACAATTATCCTGGGGAGTAAAGCGCGGCCGGCGCGTAAGGCTGACAACCTTTCCGCCATCTCTGAGCCGATTGTCTAGATAATGTGGGACCCTCAACGTCTCACAACCCAGTGGGCCTTCACGGCCTGTTACAGGGATAGCTTTACTTTTTTTTTACTTTATTGTAATTAGTAATTAGAGCACCGCCACCTTTCTTGTAAGCAAGAACGAAGGCAGCTTGCTTCCGCAGAGTAGGAAACTTATAAATTAATATTAAAAATATGACTCAAAGAGGGACAAAAATCTGTGAGCAGCCTTCAGAGATAAAACTGGAGATTTCATCTGGATCGACGCTTCGACGGGCTTAGACGTCGAATTTACTTCTTAACGTCAGAGTCGGAAATCGAAGGAACGTTTAAAAAATCACAGAAAGTAGAATGAGCAGTGTTTGGAATAGCAACAGAAGAGAGACAGATAGAACCTAAGGAAATGATCCGCAAAGTCTTCAAAAATACATCGAAGCTGCGTTATTACATTTTCACCAATTTTGAATTGAGTGACAGCATGACCATTCTTTTTAAAGTTAGAAACGCACTTGCAAAATTCCTTAGGTTCAGTTTTTAGATTTTAACCAACTAAACCTGTCTGTTTTAATTGTGGCTTTATCCAATTAACACTATAGTTGTGATCAGAATTTGATTTCTTGTATCTTCTGAAGTGTTAATATTTTAAATAATTAGATCATCAATGCGGAAGGGTATAAGTTTTGGTTCTTATGTAAGGAAGGGCTAAATGTATAGCTTCATGTACTATGGAAGAGAGATCATTCACTGCAGAATCGACGGAATTTTCTTTTAGACCAGTCAGAACGACGTAAGACATGAGAGAGCAGCAGTTAATCTCCTTGAGCGCAGCTGCGGTGAGTGGGCAGGAAGACACGATGACAGTCGAGAGTTAAATTGAAACCAAGAAGTGGCGAATGGTGCTCATCGGGAGTGACCACAAGAGAGCTTGAAACAGAAGTGCTCATGTCTCTAATACCTCAGAACACTAAATGGAGTAGTGCACTATTTATGATAGAGCTATTACGTTGATTAAGAGCAAGAAAACAGATGGTTTTGTGAATTAAATTTCGTTTAATTTTATTGTAGCACTGAGAATTGAGACGGGTACGCAGTTGCGTAGTTGGTCGAGGCACTATGCTGAAAGTCGGTAGGTCGCGGGTTCAAGTCCCAATGAGCTCATTGGATTTCTTTCAATTGATCTAATCCTTCCAGCTGCACTATGGCCCTGGGGTCGACTCAGCCTCTAAGAGAAATGAGTACCAGTAATATTCTTTGAATATTCTTGGGGGTAAAGGGCGGACGGCGCATAAGGCTGACAACATTTCCGCCATCTATTAGCCGATTGTGTAGAAATTGTGGGAACCTCAACGTCTCATAGCCCAATGGGCCTCCACGGCTTGTTACAGGGATACCTTTACTTTACTGAGAATTGAGAAGTGGCGCGGCACTAATCCAGTCTTAAGACAGGCACAATAAAGTCACGGAATGTGATTATCTGATGCTGATGTGCACTGAAATTTCTTAAAAAAAGGAATTGTCAATAATTGTGATATTACAATCAGGACGAATGTAATGATTTCTTATTAGTGGATAGAAATTGTCACTGACAGGTATTTCGATCCACACACATTCTTTAACCGACCGTTTATCAAGGGTCTGTCTTCGTGGTAACTCGTTAGACCTCCCGTTGCCCGGCAACGGTTAGACATGCCATAATAGTTTCAAGGTCATGACACCGCATGACACTTTGTAATAAATTTGAAACTGCAATCAGTACTCCACCTCCACGAGTTGTGTGGGAATTTTAATAGCCTCTGTCTGCGCGAAATGCAGAACAAGAGGTCGGGAAATGGTTACGACTAAACATCGTGTCAATTAGTCAGTTTCAGTAAAGCTGTAAATTTTGTAGTTAGAAACGTAAATACTGTCTGCGAATCCAGCACGNATTAAAGAGCGAAATACAAAATATGACAGTCTATATAATAGCAATAGCCAGTCACGGTAGCCTAGCGGTCTAAGGCATGTACTGTCTTCGCTCGCTTGGAAACCGGGATCGTGGGTTTGAATCCTACTCTGGGCATTGATGTTTAGTTTGTGTGTGTAGGTTTTTCTGTGTTTGTGTACAGGTAGAGGCCTTGCGATGAGCTGATCACCCGCCCAAGGAGTCCTACCGAATTTGTAAGATCTAGAAAAACCGAAGTGAACGGAGCTCATGGAGGTAGGCCTAGGCCCACTGGGGCTGTAGTGACAAGGGAAAAAATATAATAGCAATAAATTAATAACAATTCCAAGAAATATTGAAGTTAGCTTTAACAGGCGAGAAAATAAAATAAGTACATTTCCAATAGTTATACCACTTGTGGTGAGAAAGGACAATACATGTACATACACACATATACGTTGATGATAATGATAATAATAATAATAACTCAGTTACTAATTATAATAATAACTCCATCAACACAAATCAAACCTATCATTGAGAAGTGAGAAAATTAAAATTTATACAATTAGTATTTTGATTGGAATAACCATGGCAGCAATAAAATATAAAACAATTCAAGTTTTAAATGGATCAATGTATAAACATATTAATTTATCCCAAATTTTGTTTATTTACATGCTAAATATGATTGAGAGAAATGGCCCCGAATGCAAATATGTCGAGATCTTTACCCACCCCATTGGCAGCACAGGTGCACCGAGCAGAAGGACAGTGTTTATTAGAGGGACAATAATAACAATAATAGAAGACGGGATAGCGCAGTCGGTATAGCGACTGGCTACGGGCTGGACGGCCAAGGGTCGGAGTTCGAGCTCTGGTAGGGGCAAGATTTTTCTCCTCTTCACGTCGTCCAGGCTGGTACTGTACTTTTGCCCACCCAGCCTCCTACCCAATGGCTACCGGGGGCTCTTTTCCTGGGGTAAAGCGGCTGCGGCCTGAAGCTGACCACTCATCTCCAATTAGTGCCGAGGTCAAGAAAACGTGGATCTATACATCTGCTCCCCCATACGTCTCCACAACGTAGTGCTGAATTAGTTAAGCACAGGGACAACTTTATGTTTATAATAATAAACTATATATTACTTAAGAAAACATATCAGTGACCTTCTGGGTCAGTCCACTATAGTTATGGGGATAAGGGTCATTAATTTCATTGTTTCTTATCCACTTCTTGCAGGAACGTAGTTGTGTGAGCTTCCTCATGGTCGATGATGAATATAAACAGAGGTTTCCAATCATCAGTCAATGCCTACAGGGAGAAAACGTGACGACAGGAGCTAGGTATCGTCACTATTGCTGACAGTGCATTATCTCCAGCAAATTAGTGGTCTGCAATCCGCCTGACAATGCAGTATCTGAATCCTGGATAGTGTAGGAAAAGCAGCACTACTGTAAATAGCGGACGGCTACAGTTGTGTTCAGTATAGGTCCCATTCTGCATACAGACATCTGTGTCAAAAATCAGTTCCCATCACAAAGCACCAGTTGATCAATAGTATAGGTTTTTGGACTTTAGGTCTAATACAGAAGGTCCAATCCACAATTTCATCGTCGCGATTTGGTCCACTGTAAAAGTCGTATGATCGAAAGTCCAATTGTTTTACATATTTTTCTAGCCTAATCCAAACCGTTATAATCGTAAAATACATTCCGTCCACTTACGGTGTAATAATTAAAAATACTCTTGTGTTCTAAGTAAGGTAAATGTAAATTTGTCCCTGTGCTTAACTAATTAAGCGCTATGACATGAAGGCGTAGGGGGGAGTTGATGTATAGATCCGTATTTTGTTGACCTAGGCACTAATTGGAGGTGAGTGGTCTCTTTACTCCCGGGGAAATTGCCCCGGGTACCCACTGGATAGGAGGCTGGGCGGGGCTCAGGCTTATTTTGGAAACTTAAGCGTATATGGGAGGATAATACGAAACTAAATATTAAAGAAATAAGTTTTGATTATTTAATATTTTAATGTTTTGCACAGAATTTTATACGTTTGCATTACTAAACAACATGCATGACCTCCCCAAATGTAAACTTTGGTCAGGGTATGAGAAAATAGCAGGAAAATAGAGTGTGTGTGAATATTTCACCTGATAATGGCCGTAAAGGGCCGAAACATGTTGTAAAATAATATATAAGTTTGTACACGAATTGTGGGACCGAACCAATAACACAGGATAATTCATAAATTTCTCCGGAAACTCCGACAATAATTTAGAATCATCGCCCAATTGTGGCCATATATTTGGTCTAATTCTAAATTATTGTCAGTATTTCCGGAGGGATTTATGAATTACCCTGTAAGATGTTCACACACAACGTGACGCTGAAATACAATATTCCAAATAAGATATGAGGTTGCAGAATGGGACCAGTGGTATGGTCTTGTGTATACGATAATGTACCTTAGAATTCCACAATGATCGGGGAATTTCTCGACTAGCTCGGCAAATATTATATTTCATAGAAGGAATTTTCTTCATGAGGCTAGTTACATACCGTATGTTAGTACGCAATACATTCTCTTAAACAAGACACAAGGGAGGGGAGACGGGATAGCTCAGTCGGTATAGCGACTGGCTACAAGATGGACGACCGAGGAGTCGATTTCGAGTCCCGGTAGGGTCAAGAATTGTTTCTTCCCTACGTCGTTCAGACCGGCTCCGGGGTCCACACAACACCTATCCAAATGGTACAGAGGGCTCTGTCCCCGGGGGTAAAGCGGCCGGGGCGTAATACTGACCACTCAGCTCCAGCTAGTGCCTAGGTCAAGAAAATGTGGGTCTATACACCCACCCCCATACGCCTTCATGGCGTAGTGCTTAATTACCGTATTTACGCATGTATAGGCCGCAGCACAATTTTCAGACAGAAATTATAGAAAAAATAATTTTCTTGGAATATTATTTCAGGAGTAGAACACTCTGTATTACTAATTATGAATATATTTTTTTAAATGAAGTGTGATTTCGAATATTTCGAATATAAGCGGCACCCCAGTTTTCCTCTTGAATTTTTGGCAAAAATTGTGCGGCCTATACATGCGTAAATATGGTAGTTAAGCACAGGGTAAACTTTACCTATTTAAGGCAAAAGGAAACCTCAATTTTTATGGATATTTACAGAAAATATCAAATAACGTAAGAACGCAGACCTAGAAACGAATGCTAAAACACTTCAGTTATTCAAACAGTCTTTCGTTGTAATGGGTATGGCGGTTCTAATTAAATTCCTTAACCTGATCACCTAAGCAGGAAATGTAATCGCGCTAGGCAGCCCATCACGAGACGTATGAAGCCAGGTTTTGCTAGACTTGGTTTTAATGATAATCCATGAGATAATGTAATTACTTAGTGTTGAATGACCTCTGAATGTACACGACGAACAGGGAAAGATGCAAATTGTGGTCCGAAAAGTGCCAACTTTTGACGATAGAGGGTGTCGCGTGGTTAGCGTAACGGATTCCCACGGCCGTTAATCTCGTTTTTCTAGACCTGAGCCGCTACTTTTCCATTTAAGTAGCTCCTAAATTATCCTCACGAGGCTGAGTGGACCCCGTTCCAGACCCACTATTTCTCAGAAAATCTGGTAACGCCGGAAATCGAACCCGGGACCTATGGATCTGTAGTCAGGAACTCTGACCACTAGACCACAGAGTTCGCCGACAAGGGACGGTAGCTCGGTCGGTATAGTTCGCTTGCGGACTGAAGCCATGGAGTTTGTTTTGGTCCAAAAGAGAGTAATTAATTGAAATCTCATATGTGAAAGCTATATTAAATATCCACTGTTTCAGCTGTCAAAGTTGCGGATAAAATTAGTTGTACATGCGTTATGCTATCTGCTTTCAGTCACTTGGGAAATCGGAAAATAAAATTCGATTCTGTTCAATTTTTGGGTGGGAAGGGGGACATCCTGTAGAATAAGAGGTCACTGCAGATGATTTCGGCATTCCCCCGGAGTACTTACGAATATAATAAAGGAGTCGGAATGCCCTTCGACCAACAGAGATTTGAACCTGGTATCTTCCAAAAGGAAGTCAGATGCAGAGTAAATAATCAAGTGTAGTTGGATGTGGGAAGTGAAGTAAATATGGCCCAAGACTGACAACTTGCTTCAAAAACAAATAAATTACGAATGAATTATGAATTTTGCCTCCATCTTCAGGGTCAGCAAGAAACCAGCGTGACGCAAGTAGGAAAAAGCTTGCTTTGTCTTTTACCTGATACAAGCTGGTTTCTTGCTTGATATATTCTTCGACCCTGAAAATGGAGGCGACATGTTCCTCCGAAACGTTGGTTGACTTACAATGGACTATAGAGCGTTGTGTTCTAGAAGACAAAAATCTTTCTGTAGACACTGTCAGCTTTCTGTGAATGCCATCCACTGACTCGTTGTCTACCAACGGGAAATCTGTTACAGGTTTATCTTGTAACGTCCATCAGGACTAGAAATAAAGCTATCCTTGTGGTTAATTACGTGCTGGCATAGAAACATGAGAGGGAATGGAGGTATCTCTTCCACGCATTCTTAACCCCGGCACTAGATTGAGTTAAGTAATCAATTTCACGCCTGAGCAACTTACTGCCAGGGAAGGACCCCCTGGTACCCACTAGATAGGTTACTGGGTGTTCCCTGGAGTCTCTTCACTCTATAGAGAGGAAGGAAATCGTCTTCCTGCTAGGATTCTAATGCTTAATTGCCCAGGTTATTTTCAAGTGTCTGCACTGATTGAGCTACACTGGCTTCCGTTAGTTTTCAATTTAAGTATCTTGACAGGTTTTTCATGGTTTTCTTTAGTCCCTCCAGGAAAATTCCTGAAAAGTACTTCAAATTAATCCATAAGAGCTTTATCTGAATTCTTTTCAATTCAGTAATCAGTGATGGCACTGAACTTCTGACAGAGTCATTAACTAAATATTTTTTTCTACTGGTGATACAGCCCCAATTTGGTGCCTTGACATACCTCTCCGTTTCACTTCGGTTTACTAGATATTAGACATTCGGAAGGACTCTTTGTGGGTAATCAGCTCATGGCAAGGCCTCCACCTATACACAAAAACAGAAAAACGTGCCACGCGCACACACACAAACACTAAACATTCATGTCTAAGTGGGATTTGAACCCACGATATCGGTTTCCGAGCGAGCGGAGACAGTTCATGCTTAAGACCGCTCGGCTACCGTGACCGGCTGCTGCACCAAGTCACGGCTTCCGAGCGAGCGAAGACAGTGCATGCTTAAGACCGCTCGGCTACCGTGACCGTCGACTAAATCTTATAAATAAATAAAAACATAAATAAAAGAGGGAAGAAACACAAAAAGAGAGAAGGGAAGAATGAAAGAAAAAAGAGGTAAATAAATAAATTAATTATTAACCACTTCCCGATGTGAAGTAGGGCAGAATGTTCAGCAATCCTGTGCCCACAAGCAGCAGTGTCAGATCTTAACAAGATTCGAATTTTTGTTCTCATCCTGTGGGAGTGCTGATGCGTATATGCAATTTACCATTCAATCATAAACCAGCGTTGATCTGCGTCACCTGTGAGAAGCAGCGCTTGGCGTGATTATGTACCCCCAGTAAACATATGAAGAGAGTAAATCAGGTTTGCCAACTCACCGAGCTGCATTCCTAAAGACTCTCCCTGCTGCGACTTTCTGGAACCTGAAACCGAGGCACTTGGATCGTCCAGGAGGTCGCACATTCGCCTGAAATAAAAGAGAATTTTTTTTTCATTTCGTGCTTCCTGTTGTGTTATTATGTACATAGCTCAAGCGGTTAGTCGCTGGCTTCCCACCGCGGCGGCCCGGGTTCGATCCCGGTTCTGGTCAAGTGGGATTTGTGGTGAACGAAGAGGCGCTGGGGCAGGTTTTCTCCGAGTACTTCGGTTTCCCCTGCCAATCTTCATTCCACCAATTGCTCCACAATCACCCTCACCTATCATCTGGGGCTGGTAGAATAAGCCAGAAGTAGCCGCAGTACAAGGGACTTAGTATCACCCCACTAGCAATAAAATATACAATTTCTTTATTAAAGTCTGTCACAACACAACAATATAAAGGTGAAGGCTAAAATTAACTTAGCTACATGTTTCGGGCCATGAAGCCATCATCAGGCAAACACATGATCACCATATTCACACACCACTGAACTTCAGTTGCGATGGTACAGCTGGATACTTGATAATACATTATAAAATACACGGTATAGGAGTACAATGAACTGTAAACTTATTAAAACGAAAGTTATGACATAAAATAAGGTTAAAACTCTTCATGTGAAATTCTATATCATCAAGTCATTTTGTTGCAATTTTGTTATATTTCCGCGGATATAATGGTATATTCAGACTTGCTTGGAGGCCCGTGGTATGGATGTGGTATAGTTTTGACGTTAATTGTTTGCCTCATCTTACAATGGGTTTGTCCGTTCTGTAGGGCCGCGCTTCACTCCCCAGAAAAATTATTTAATTAATGCGGTAGCGAAGTTGTTTGAGGTGCTATGCTACAAGCCGGAAGGTTATGGGTTTAATTTCCGATGATGTCACTGGATTCTTTTCAATTAACCTAACCCTTCCAGCCGCACTATGACCCTGGGTCGATTCATCCTCTAACAGAAATGAGCACCAGGTATATACATATACAATTTTTGCTTAGAATGGCCGAAACTATAACCTCCCAGAATATTGACCTTTCCTCCTGGGACACCCTATGAAGGTACTAGGTGTAAAAGCTTAGAGAATTGTTTTTGAAATATTTTTAAAAGGGTCTTAAATGGAAGGAGAAACAGTGTACTCACAGGTCAGTGCCATGCTCCACTAGTAACTCGGCGACCTCCCCCGTTCGGTCCATGACAGCACACACTTCCTCAAAACTGCGGTCCACAAGCGGAACACCGTCCCACTCCAGCACCTGGTGACACAACACAGAACACGTGAGACTCAGCCTTACCGGAGTAAGTTCAAGCGGTGCCAGGTTCGAATCTATGCCTTGACGCTGTCTGTCCGCACAGAGGATATTAATTTGTTAACTTACAACGACGATGACAGGACAACACACTGAAATAGGCCATGAGCAATTCCTCCTCAGTCCTCAACATTCAAATAAACCCATTATCGTTTCACATCATTTAGCGTTAAATAAGAGCTGCAGTTGACACAGCATCGTTAAATCCAAGCTTATTCTTCAGATTTGTAACACACTGCTCCAAAATATGTCGTCTGATTGAGTATTGGACAATTTATAGACGTTTTTCAACTGAATAGCTTATATATCGTTGAATGATAAGACTATTGTGAATAATGAATTGGAAAGGACGTTGAAGAAGAAACTTTGGCTTGTTTTAACGTACAGCACTCAGATGAAGTAACTGAGAAAAACGGAAATCCTGTTAGAATAGCGAACACCTAGATCGAGATTCGAGTCAGATACTCCAAAATATGAACTATTCGACCATTGTAGTTAATTCGAGTCCGCCTGGTACACGGAAATTGTTCCATAAGGTTCGTCGAAAAATTTTGTAAGAGTGGATTATTTTGTGTGCTAACGTAAATTTAAGACAATTGGTTGCCATATCTGTGATTCATTTTTCTTTTCTTAAACTCTTTGTTGTAGTCTGTTCCAGTGTAACAGACATTGGCAAAACTCGGTGGCCTGTAGTCCGCAAGCGAACTATATCGACCGTGCAACCGCCGCTTGTCGGCGAAGTTAGTGCCAACTTTTGCCGATAGAGGGTGTCACGTGGTCAGCGCAACGGCTTCCCACGGCCGTTAATCTCGGTTTTCTAGACCGGAGCATCTATGAAACAGTTCCTCAGTTATCCTCACAAGGCTGAGTGGACCCCGTTCCAGACCCACTACTTCTAAGAAAATCTGGTAGCGCAGGGAATCGAACCCGGTATCTCTGGATCTGTAGCCAGGAACTCTGACCAAATACCACAGAGGCTTATATATATTGCCTGTAATATGTACACAAAGGCAACAGTTGTGTCTGAAAGTTCAAGGGCCGCTTTTCTTCGCCCGCACCATTTAAACCCCTGCAATGAATCGTCCTGACTAATCGCTTTACAGCGGAGGTGGAGAAGTTGCCGCCCTATCGCGGCGATGCTTTCTCTAGTCATGAACCGACTGGATGGGTTCGGCATTGCTAGCTTTAGGAATGAAATAGTCGAATGGATCGATTTTTGTTAAATAATTCCATGGATCAGAATTATTACTGAGAAGATGAAAGTTTTCAGCTTGACAGGAAATACCCTTTTTTTTTCATGCAATCTAAAATCGCACTGCAATATTCGGTGTTCCACGAATTTTAAATTAAGTGGTTTGAATGTTATTAGGGAGGACCAACACACGAACAAATGTCAATTATAACATTAACTAAAACAATTCTAGACGAATATAGAACTTTCAAATTCGCACCCTTTAAAACGCAATGGCTGCTATATTTACTATCTGTTTTAACACTATATGTAAGTAAAGCTATCCCTGTACCAGGCCGTGGAAGCCCATAGGGTTGTGAGACGTTGAGGGTCCCACATTATCTAGACAATCGGCTCAAAGACAGCGGTAAGGATGAGTACCAGGAATTAATTAAATCATTTTCCTGGGGAATAAAGCGCGGCCGGCGCGTAAGGCTGACAACCTTACCGCCATCTTTGAGCCGATTGTTTAGATAATGTGGGACCCTCAACGTCTATTGGCCTTCACAGCCTTGTACAGGGATAGCTTTACTCTTTACTTTACTTTAACACTATATAACTCGGCATTTTTCCCACAGTGTATTTATTTATTTTTGGAGTATTTTAAAATGTATTTATGTGTTTAATATGATTATCGGAATAAACAGAAACTATTTGTGTATCTGCATTTTATACTGGAGAAGCAGCTAGTTTCTTGTGCAGCAGGAAACTGAGTTCTCAAATATTATTTAGAAAATATATTGTCATAACTAATGTACGCTCGTATTATGTTCTCAACAATAAAGATAACAGTTGTTATGGGAACGTGAAGGAACCTTTAAATTCCTTAGTGTCCAGACTTTTCGCTAGATATCAATTGGAGACCAGAATGCCTTGCGACATTCACATCACAGGGTCTTCACATATTTCTCTCTGAAACAAAATCTGAGACGGTTTCCAAGTTACAAGTTATTACTTCATGCTCCTACATAGCCTTCCCTATTTAAATGCATCAGAATTAGATGTTTCCTTCTGCAGACCCCCAAATTACCTAGCCAAATTATGAAACTCTCAGTTAACCGGAAGACCACAATTCTACAGTCTCTTTCTACAACGCTAAAACTTACCACCTGAATTTAATCAACGAATTCGTTCATAAAAACCAAGGCTAGTGAGTATTGCTCAGGTCATGGATGACTTCCGTACTCGGAAGTGACGTACATGGCTTATCGTGCCCCCCCTTCTCCCAGTTTGTGCTTCAAAGTGTTAAGTTTTCGGGCTCCATGCCACCTAAGCTTCTAAAGCGTGGTTGCTCTTACCTTGTCACCTTGCTGGAGGCCACCTTTCTCTGCGGGACCACCGGGTACGGTCCAGACGATGTAGGCAAAGAGTCTCCCGTCACTTCCGGTCTTGCCGCCCACAACCCGCATCCCGAAGCCTCTGGCTGCCACATCACACCACAGTTACAAGTATCCGCCATGACAACAGTTTCATTCATCACTAACCAGCATGTACGTGTACATCATATAAGCTACTGTAAAGGAATATACGTATACATAATGGTAACAAGGTAAAGCTATCCCTGTAACAACCGTGTAAGCCCATGGGGTTGTGAGACGTCAAAAGTCCCATATTTTCCAGACAATCGGCTCACAAATGGCGGTGAGGTTTACAGCCTTACGCACCGGCCGCCCTTTACCATCATGAAGATTCCTGGTACTCATTTCTGTTAGAGACTGAGTCCATGCGAGGGCCATAGTGCGGCTGGTAGGATTAAGTCAAACTAATTCTAATAACGTCATCGAGAATCGAACCCGCGACCTTCCGCCTTACAACATAGTGCCACAACCAAATACCCTACCGCGTGCTACTTAGGACATAATGATTTTCCGAAAACCAGTCATAATTCTAAAATATCGCAAATGGAGACCATTGTAATATGAGAAATATAGGGTTACGTTCCTGGCGATCAGGGCTGAGACTTACTCTTCAATATTTTAACCCATAATACGATATAATTCTGTATTATAAAGTCACCGAAGGAACGTCATATAAGAAAGCATTAAATATTAAAAATATTAAAAGTAAGTTAATTAATAATGGGTCACGCGGTAACGCAGTTGGTTCAGGCACTATGTTAAAAGCTGGAAGGTCGCGGGTTCGATTCCCCTATTAGTTGGGTTTTTCAATTTATCTTATCCTGGGGTCGACTAAGCCTCTAACAGAAATAAATACAAGGGAATCTTCCTGGGGTAAAGGGTGGCCGGCGGGTAAATCTGACAACCTTACCGATATCTATGAGCCGATTTTCTAGAAAATGTGGGAGTCTCGACGTCTCACAACCGTATGGGCCTCCACGGCCTGTTACAGGGATAGCTTTTTCTTACCTTTAAGTTAATTAATACAGAGTGATTTTAAATTATTATCGAGGATTCCGTTTATAGGTCACGGGAGAATCACCTTGTATTTTATCGTGGATCGTTAAGAGCTTCAATTCGAGCCACCAGAGCATTACAATGTGGCCCAGGTTTGAATTCAAGTTTCTACTTAAGTCCAAAAATTCGGAAGGTAAACCTAAAGGGTTTCCACTTAAATGGGATCGTTGAGTTTGGAAATCGTAGACCGAGGCACGTCTTAGTCGGAATTATTAACTGACATATTGTGTTTTCGAGTGTTGTTATTATAACATTCTAACACATTACATTACAATTAAATGTTATACGAGTGATAAGAACTAGTAACTTCTGGAATGTGTCAAATAGAATTTCACATCCGTTTCGGAGGAATATACTTTAGTTATCGAAGAGTAATGAAGAAAGAGCTCTGATTTCTACTTGCTTCATGCCAGTTCATGGCAGCGTAGTTGGTTGAGGGGCTATGCTGCAAGCCGGAAGGTCGCGTGTTCAAGTCCCGAATAGGTCATTGGATTTTTTCAGTTGACCTAATCCTGCCAGCCGCACTATGCCCTGGGGTTTACTCAGCCTCTAACAGAAATGAGTACCAGGAATTAATTAAATACGCGCGGCCGGCACGTAAGGCTGACAACCTTACCGCCATCTTTGAGCCGATTGTCTAGATAATGTGGGACCCTCAACGTCTCACAGCCCTATGGGCCTTTACGGCCTGGTACAGGGAGAGCTTTACTTTTTTACTTTCATGCCAGTTGCTTGCTCGGGCTTACTCTTCGAAACAGAAGATATAGTAGGTACGTCACTCCAAAACGTCAGTGAACTTCTGCCATACTACATATGGAACCCATAAGACAGTAAGCTTCGTAGGCACTGCTGTGAGAACCCCCTATCCAGCATATAATGAGGGTGTTTGAGAACATGGTAGTGGGGAAAATATTTCGATCTGAGAGGAATTAAGCAACAGGAGGGTGAAGGACGGTTTCATAATGGCCACATATTACCAGAATGATAAAATTAGGGAAAATCGGGTGGACTTGGTATATAGAACGCCCGGGACAGAAGTGCATAAAATGTTTTCTAATAAAACATGAAAGGATCACTGGGAAATAGAAAGCGTAGATGGAAGCATACTATTAAAATTAGTCCGGATTGGGAATTGTAGAATGGATTAATTTTTTCATGGTCAAGCCGGGTCATATGTCCTCTCCGAGGATCTGAGTGATCAACTTGCAGTACGCCTATATAATCCAACCGAACATATTTCGATCCTGAAGATGGAAGCACAGTTTCTCACGAATGTTGGTATGTAGCTGCATATCTACCAAATGAATAACTAAGTCCTTATAAAGAATCCTCAGCCACTCAAAAAATTCCCACCATTTTACGTAAGCTGTGAATTCATTGCCGTGTTTATACGAACTCCTCAGTGGTCTGTTTTATCTATATGATTCTAGTTCACAACTTCCCACCGTATTTTCTTAAGACCCATTTCAATATTATCCTCTCATCTCTAAATAACATTTCCTAGTGGTATTTATTCCGAGTTTCCTTTCTAATGTACTTTCTCCCATGCGGGCTACATTCCCAGCCCACCTCACCCTCTTCGATCTGGCCATCCTAACATTTTCAAGGAAACCAAATTACGGAGCTCCTTATTGTGTAATATTCTCCAAACTTACATACAAGAAGATGTAATGTTACAACCTAGAAGACCACAATCTGGAAAATTCCTCGATTATTAACATAGGAAGATGGTTTCATATCCTTCTTATGCAATGAATGAGGAAAACATAAAGAAGAAAAGTTGAATCTGAGGTTCTCACAGAAAACTCTCGTATCAGAAATACGAAATTTTGGGTTGTAACGTCGTGTCGTTCCGCAGAAATAGAACAACGTTGCGGAGGAACGCAATGTCTCCATCTTTATGGTCGAAGAATAAGCGAAGCGGGAAAAGAAAGCTCAGCAATAAGCAGACGGTACTATATGAATATCAGATATGACGGCCAGTGTAGATATGAACCTCATGCTCTCGATGGTTCTGCTAAGTTTAGTTACGGAGAAACTGAGAAAATCGTCTCACACGCTTGTATGTTAGGTCTTGTGAAGCATCCTTCAGAAAATTATATACATATATCAGGCCTTGTGAAGCATATTTCAGAAGATTATACCAATGTGTTAGGTCCTATGAAGCACATTTTAGATTATTTTATCGCTGTGTTAGGTCTTTGAAGCATATTTCAGAAGATTATACCAATGTGTTAGGTCCTATGAAGCACATTTTAGATTATTTTATCGCTGTGTTAGGTCTTTGAAGCATATTTCAGAAGATTATACCATTGTGTTAAGTCTTGTGAAGCATACTTCAGAAGATTATATACCATTCAATTAGGTCTTGTGAAGCATATTACAGAAGATTATACCACTGTGTTAAGTCTCGTGAAGCATATTTCAGAAGATTATATACCATTGTATTAGGTCTTGTGAAGCATATTTCAGAAGATTATACCAATGTGTTAGGTCTTGTGAAGCATACTTCAGAAGATTATACAAATGTTTTAGGTCTTGTGAAGCATACTTCAGAATATTTTACCGCTGTGTTAGGTCTTTGAAGCATATTTCAGAAGATTATACCATTGTGTTAAGTCTCGTGAAGCATACTTCAGAAGATTATATACCATTGTATTAGGTCTTGTGAAGCATATTACAGAAGATTATACCACTGTTAAGTCTCATGAAGCATATTTCAGAAGATTATATACCATTATATTAGGTCTTGTGAAGCATATTTCAGAAGATTATACCAATGTGTTAGGTCTTGTGAAGCATACTTCAGAAGATTATACAAATGTGTTAGGTCTTGTGAAGCATACTTCAGAATAATGTTATATTTTAGCGTCCTGTTGCACTGATTTATGTCCATGATTTATTATGACCGTCTTACAGTGCATACATTTATTCACCTTACTCTTCTCTCTTGGACTTCATGTTTCAGCACTAAAGTGCCATCTTCAGGTGCTTTTCTATGCACGTCGAACTACTTCATTGCATGCCCTGTTGACTTTATACTAACTATATATTCGTCATATATAATGATAAATTTTAAAAATTAAGATTGTTCAGGATTTTTCATCCTTATGTCGTATCTCAATACGCGAGTCACACCTATCTTCTTCTATCGGAGTATTCTTCCTATTTTCATGTGTGTGTCTGTAACGTGAAATTGTTATTCATTAATACCGCGTTCTGAATTTTATTTGTTACGTGTGGTATTATGTTTAATACTCACTGTGCTTTGTGTTGTGTCTTGTTCCTGTGACTGCGTGTGTTATACTGCTGGGCCTGCTGGGTATATGTGTGTGTGCTGTCTTCGTTTTGAGTGAGTTATGATGTTGTGGGGGTAGGTGGTGGGGTGTTATGTTATTCTATGTAGATAGTGTGTAATTCGTGGTATATTGGGTTAAAATTTTTTTATCTATATTGTTCATATATGTGTTTTTCTTTGTCGTTCTGTATATATGACAGTTTTCCAATGTGTTTAAGTATTGACCTTTCTTATTTGTTG